CCAGTCATCAAGGAGGGGAACAGTGAGGCAGGACGAAACCACGTGTCTGCATCCTTGCCGCTGGATGATGGAGAAGAGCAATCAGATCTGACTGATCTTTGAGTCTTGCCTGCTCCGACATTCTAGAATTCTAGGTGTCTAATGCTCATTACCTAGATATGCACAGGAACCAAAAAGGCTACTTGCTATTGGACTGACAACAGAGGAAGAAAAGCCCACATTTATCGGGTTATCTCTTAGCCAGGCATTGTGTTAGGCATTTTATACATTTAATTCTTGCACGAATCCTGCAAGGGAGGTGCTAGACCTGTTTGCAGAGAAGGGAACTGAGGCTCTGAGAAGCTAAGCAGCTTAACCAAGGTCACAGAGTTAGTATGTAGCTAAAGTGTTTCAACCCACCCACCTGACTCCAAAACTCATGCTCTTTCCGCAGTATCAAAATCGTCCGGGTGTGAGATGGGCAAAGCAATAATATATCCTGGGGAAAGGCATAGAGGGTAATGACCACGAGGTGGGGAAAAGTCAAGAAGACTCATAAAGGCAGTCTCTCATTTTGGAGAACGGCCAATGAGGTGACGCGCTGCAGGTGACAAAGGGGCAACCCTACCTGCTGCTGTGTGAAGCTATTAATGAAGTCCGTTTGTTCCAAGACAGACTATGTGACCTTACCCCTTGCTCCTGCTGCTCTCATTTTCCATCAGTCTTAAAAAAAAAAGCCAATGACAATAGTCATTTTTACTTTGCCACCACACGTGATGCTCGACTCTTGCCAGCACTATGGTGAGCACTTTCAATGCGTGAAATCAATACTATCATCCCCATTTTACAGTAGAGAAAATCGAAGCTTAGGAAAGTTCACTGGTAAGTGATGGAGCAGAGGTTTGAACCCGGCAGTCTAATTTCTGACTTAGGAGCCTGCACACTTCTACCCTCCAGGGTGAGCTCTCTCTGCTCTCTCTTCTGACCAGCACACTTACTCACTCTCGTGTTCTGTTTTACACACACACATGCACACACGCACACACACACACACACACCCCTCCTGTCCTGGCTCCTCGCTTTCCCTCCTCCTGCCTTTCCCTCCACAGAAGAGATGCTGAAACCTAACCTCCACTGCGCTCTCTTGAGCTGAGACGGCCCCGCCCACCCTTTTCTAGGACCTGAGGGGCAAATCCCAAAGTAACCCACCAGGCATCCACCTTCTCTCATCCACAAGAAAGACCTCCCCTGTCCCCTTCCCTGCTCTAAACTGCCCTTACGTCTCCCCCATCACTGAAAGGGGCTTGTCACCCAGCTTCCTCCGAGGGGAACGTCAGTAACCTCGTCTGTATCCCTGTAGTTGGATTGTTTTCTGGAACATTCAGTCCTGGGTTCCTCCTTGAAGCCTTGAACCTTTTATTCTGGTTGACCCCGAGTCCATTCTAAGCATTTCACCTTGTATCTAAAAAAAGGTTTCAGTATAGAGGGTACATCTGGGGCTTGTCTATCTAAACAGTAAGAAGACATTTGGCAAGCCCGGGCTCCCGCGGCTTTATTCGGCCGTGACTCAAGAGCAGCGTGGAGTCCCTGGGCAGCCGTGGGTAAGCACAGCCCTACTTAGAAAGATGGCGAGCAGGGGAGACCGGAGACCGGAGCTGCGGAGTATAAAAAGCCTGCAGAGGAGGAAGAGAAAGGTTCAGGAGAGAAGGGCTGGCCCCTCCAAGCCACAGCCACCATGACTGCGATGTGCGGAATCAGGAGTGAATGTGAACAATCTAATACGTGAGCACAGCACTAAAACCACAGCCAGGGCGCAGAAGAGGAGGGAGAACGAGATGGCGAGTCCAAGAGCTGTGCGCACAAACCCTCGGACACCTCCCGTGCACACAGGCACCGCAACACACGCCAGCCCTGCACACGGCGTCCCTTTGATCCCAGCTTATTCATCCCCATATTCCCAGGGGACAACCAGCTCTGGCAGAAGGACCCAGCCTCGGGCACTGGTCCCTGCTGCTGTCGAATGCGTCTCACTGCTGGGCTCGTTCAAGGCCGCCACCCCTCCCGCCTTTCTCTT